GGTTCCCCACCATGGGGGCATGGAGGGACCTGTGTAGTAGGGGCATGTCGCCTAAATAGCGAGCAGCCAGTTGCTGCTAGCTGTCATTTAAAACTGGATATAAATAAGTATCTTATATAGAAGTGATAGAGAGCTACATGTAACCAATAGTTATAGCAAAAACAACAACAATGTTGCAATATGAAAAAGTAGCTATTTAAATCAGTAACACAGCTATGCCCCTACTCGCGACATGACCCTACTCGCGTTAAATCCTCCCGCATGCCCCTCCGGCGAGTAGGAGCATGGGGGAGGATTTAACCTCCCTTTTATTAATATGGGGGTTACAGTGATCCCCATAGGTTTTAATGCAAGGGGATGTAGGAATTGTTAATATCATTACAAGAAGGGAGCTGGTTTGCAGTGTTATTTCCGTCCTAATTGACAAAAACAAATTATTTTTTACCGAATTTCGTCCGAAAAACGAATGTTTTTATGGATGAAATTCGGACTGGATGAATTAAATTTTTATTTATTACGAATTCATTCATATGAAATGAAAATTTCACTGGTGTGCATGTTTTTTCTATTATTAGGTACCAGTTAAAATCATTTTCTAGTGATGCTCATTTGTGCAAACCACAAACATTGTTTTCCAAGTACTAGTTTATAATTGCTTTGTCTATGTAAAAATAAAAAGAGATTTGGAGCGTGAATGGACACCTAGGGCAAAAATGAGAAAAAAATACCTTGGGTCTAAAACATAAAAGTGATATCCAATGATATAGTACATGTTATCTTTGCTACACACTTCAAATGTTATCCCTTCATAACATTCAATATCATAATCATACAGTAAAATCAAATAAGAAGTGGAGCAATATTTGAAAGAGGTGCCCGACCACCCTCAGTGATACAGATTTATATAACTTAAGTTACCAGTCTGTGGTGGCACCCAATACGGAGGTCATATAATCCATATAGATAATCCATATAGAAAAAAACTAAGAAAATATATTGATAATAGTGTAGTTCCATTAATTAGGTCAAATGGAGTGAGTAGAATATATAGTATAACATTTATTTGGACATTAGCATAAAAAGTCTTTAAAAACAGAGATTCAATGAATAATAAAACAGAGAAAGCTACAAATGGGATAAGCAGCAGCTTACAAGATTAACTGGTGAACATGTACCCGCTACTCACGACTAGACTCAGTCAATGAAGAGTCACTTGATAACTCTTGGGGTCGTTTTGGCTCTCAATCTCCCATGTGGTGAAATTGCGGTTTCAACTCCCAAAGTGCCGTTTGTGTTTCCCGGCTTCTGGAACTCCGCCCAACGCATTTCACCGTACAAAGGGGGCTTCGTCAGGATGTATGATGCAGAGTTTGCCATTTTCCTTGTGGGCTCTTTGAATGCAAACTGTTTATTTGTGATTGGCCCATTCTCTGAGTCTTTCATTTACATATTACAATCCAGTCTTAGTCAGGGCCGGATTGGCCCACCAGGATACCGGGAAATTTCCCGGTGGGCCGTCGGCACCTGGGGCTGGGGAGACATCTAGGAGGAGCTCTTCTGGTGGCTGCAGGGGAAACTGGCTCTTCTGTCTCTGCTCCTCCGCCCTCGCGTGCTACTTAATATGACCGGGGCCGGAATATGAGGTCATATTCTGGCCCCGGTCTCATTAAGCTGCGTGCTGGGGAGCAGAGACAGAGACAGCACAGCTCCTCCTTCGGCCGCCAGAAGAGCCAGCTCCCCCTGTGGCCGCCAGCACACCCATCTGTCTGCCCACAGGTAGCAACAATTATGTGTGTCAGTGGGAGTGTATGTGTGTGTGTCTGTCTGTCATGGTGTGTGTGTGTCTGTCTGTGTCATGGTTTGTGTCTGTCTGTCATGGTGTGTGTGTGTGTGTGTGTCTCTCTGTCTGTCATGGTGTGCGTGTGTCTGTCTGTGTCAGGGTGTGTGGCTGTCTGTCATGGTGTGTGTGTGTGTATGTCTGTCTGTCATGGTGTGTGTGTGTCTGTGTCATGGTGTGTGTGTGTCTGTCATGGTGTGTGTGTGTTTGTGTCATGGTGTGTGTATGTGTCTGTGTCATGGTGTGTGTGTGTGTCTGTCTGTGTCACGGTGTGTGTGTCTGGCTCATGGTGTGTGTCTATGTCATGTAATGTGTGTCTGTCTGTGTCACGTAATGTGTGTCTGTCTGTGTCACGGTGTGTGTCTGTCATGGTGTGTGTGTCTGTCATGGTTTGTGTGTGTCTGTCTGTGTCAGGGTCTGTGTCATGGTGTGTCTGTCATGGTATGTGTGTGTGTCAAGGTGTGTATGTCTGTCATGGTGTGTGTGTATCTGTCATGGTACGTGTGTCTGTCATGGTATGTGTGTGTCTGTCAAGGTATGTGTGTGTGTGTCATGGTGTATGTGTGTGTCTGTGTGTGTTTTTAAAAACAGTGTTTTTTATTTTCCCAACGTCATGCTGGTCTCCCCTAGACTCGCCCTGCCTCTATGGCTGAGATCATCAAGCCAATCCGCACTGACACAGGAAGCACCTCTAGTGACCGTATGAGTGTATGTCACTAGAGGTGTCACTAGGAAGCAATGTAAACACTGCCGGGACAGGCTATAGGCTCCAGAACCACTACATTAAGCTGTGTGTGTGTGCGCGCCTGCTAGTGAGTGAGCTTGCTTGCATGTGTGTGTGTGTGTGTGTGCCTGCTAGTGAGTGAGCTTGTGTTTTTATGTCAATGAGCTTATGTATATCAGTGAGATTGTTTGTCTATGAGGCTGTGTATCAATGAGCTTGTGTGTGTCAGTCAGATTGTACGTGTCTGTATGTGAGTATGCTTACTGTATAATTAAACGTTTTACTCTGAAAGGACAAATATTTTATATTAGAAAAAGCAATATATATTTGATATATATATATATATATATATTACTCAATCATCTGGGGTGACAAGACATAGCCTACATATTACATGTGACAATACATGGCACAATGACTTATGGGGCTGGCAAATATTTTTTTTTTTCCAGGGCTGCTTTGTATCCCCAGTCCGGCCCTGGTCTTAGTCCATAACATGGCAGCATTTAACAACCATGTATTATCAAGTATTGTTTGTAATATTTAAAACACACACATTATACATAAAACACATAAAATCTGCAATAGCAGCTGTGTCAAACAGCATGTAGTGGTGAGAACATAAGTTTCCACATTAAAAAATTAGCAATAAATACATACAATTATTCCCAAAGAACTTTATAAAAAACTTTCTTTTTAAAAAAAAGACTAATTGCTCCGCCTCTTTTTTCTTTCTCTTTTCCTTTCCTTTATCTCCTACTCTTCACTCTATGCTTTGATCTTTTCTTTCACTTTTTCATGTTTCGTATGCTACGGCCTTGTTTTTCACAGGGCAAGTTGTAAGAGGCTTTCAGGTACAGATATCGCTCTATGTGTCTAAAATGAAGTGCAAGTTATGATATACACACGATATTGCTTATGTTGATATTACTGCCTTAGCTAACAATGTACCTGATTTTATGTTTGAACAAAAAATTATAAAAATGTCAAGCCAGTCACAAGAAATCTACTGTAAAATTATACTTTTTGCAAAATATGTGTTTTGGCTCTGCCAGCTTGTGATTATGTATTGCACAACAAAAATAAAGAATTTAAAAAAAAAAGGCTTATATAGCATTTCATAGTGGGAGAAAATGAGGAAAAATAAGATAAAAATAGAAGGAGATTATTGTTACAGTATACTGTCAAGATACACAACAAGGATAAACAACAAAACTAAACAGTACATCGGCTATGTTTGTAAATGTGGTAACCTCATCACCCATAATCTCTCCATAAAGTGGTGCACTCATTCCAAGCTGTGGAAGTATCAATTCATGAAAACCACAATTAAAACCCACATTATGTTCCTACACAGGTATGGGACATTCAAATCTGAGTTAATTGCATAATGAATTATCCAGTAAAACACTTATATCTATATTTTCACAATTCTCATAAATAAAAAAAATCAAAAGTTAATAAAATTATAAAAACTATAAAAAATGACAAATTTTGAAATCATTATTCAATCCACTAGGGTGTTAAAGTGTTCAATTCGAATTCACCTTATTTCAGCTTGTCCCAACCTCTGTATAAAATTGCCTCCCCTCCAATTCTCATAATTTGCTGGATCCCTGTAAACTCTAAAAGGGACGGATCTGATTTATCGACTTCTTTAAAGTACAAAGAGACTTGATGTTGTGAAAACGGTCTTTTTTTTTAAATTCTTTATTTTCTTGTGCATAAGAAAACATAACAGATAAGCCCGTGGCGCCATGACAGCAGGTACAGGCAAATTAAATGGCAAGCGTTATCAGGGCAGAGAAAATACAGCACATTTTTTATATTTATGAGAGAAAACAGGCTATGAATACTTGAGTAGGACCATAGTAGTGTTGTTTGTCTATGTGTGCATGCTTGTATATTCGTATTGTGACTAGTGGGTGTGCAAGCTATGCAATCAAGTGTTAGGTAGAGAGTGATAACTAAGATAAGCCTACAGTAGGCAAGATTATTCTATGTAGATAACGGTGGGAGGCCTCTGGACGGTGGAGCCCGTAAGAGGGCATGATGTGCAGAGTAAGAGGGTACAGGGCGACCAGCCTAGTGTTTTGACAAAACAGGCAATATATATATTGTTGCAAAATCAGTAGGCAGGATATGTGGTATGTCATCCAGTTCATTATTAACTGCTGTGGTGTTTTAGCATGGTAGTTCCGTATAGGTGAGGCGCTCTTGGGCTGCGGGAAACCAGTCTAGCCCCTCCAAGTATATCCTCATATGTTCCTCCGGTGCCCCTGCAGTGGTCACTGTTTGCATGCTTCATAGTCCAGGACAGAATGGTTGTGGGGATCGTTAGCATCTCGCCGGCTGCTGGCTGCCCAGTGGTGACATAATGTGCCTGAAGGGAGTCTCTGGAGACTTAAACTCCATCTGGAGGTGGTACAGCAGGTTGACTCACTGCTGGACGTGGTTTGTGGTTGCACGTTTTGTTGAGTGGCGCGACTTTTCTCCTCTGGAGCCTCTTAGTGCAGGAGCTGTTGTAGCCGGGTTCAGCGCCGCCGCCATCTTAGGAGGTAGGCCTCTGGGGCGCCCCGCCGCCCATCCACTACACATCTCAGATCCTCTGCAGTGGGGACCAGGATGACCCCACCGGTTCACAGGGGTGGGGGGGAATGGGGCCAGCAGGCGATTCACGATGTCGGCTTGCAGAGTCCAGGAAGGGAGACAGGGCAGCGGCCGTCTACCCCGCACCCTCTCCGAGTAGGCCGCAGTCCCCGAAGCCTCGTGCTTCCCACTGGGGACCCGAAACTCCCAATCCTGGGGTCTGCCACCCTGTCCACAGCCAATAGTAGGTCTCTGGGGCTCTTTGCGAGTGTCAGAGTTACGATTCTTGCCTGAGAGGCCAGATTTCTCCAGAGCCTCTCCTGCATGCGACCGGTCAGCATGGCGGTCCGGCCCCGCCCCCCCATGAAAACTGTCTTTTTATATTATACGTATGTTCACATATTCTTATATGTAGTTGTCTGGTGGTCCGGACTATTTATCTTAGTCCACAGGGTCAAGTTATCATATAAATCACATTCTTCGAGTGACAAGTTATACATTCTTTAATCTGACACAACTTTCTCCCTGACCTAAATTCATTGATACATATTTTTTTGTTTGGTGTACTCCAACAGGCATTCCAGTTTTCACATCTAAAAAAACCCCAAAGATGGTTTAAAAAGTTCTTATTAGTCTCACTATTAGGAATGGAGTTGGTTAAAATTCCTTTTACGGTATATTCTGCACTCCCCTGTGCACAATTGTCAGTTTGACAGGAGGTGAATATTTGCAGAATCTTTCTTTACTAAACAACTGCAGCAGCACAGGTCAATCAATTGTTTTAAACCAATCAGAATCCAGAAACATTTCTACATATGTCTCTGTGGTGCCTGTCTCTTCCTCTTTCTTTGAAGTGAAACTAGTAGAACAACGAACAAGAATAACGTCTATAACGGATATGACATCTTCCACGAAAGGTGCAAACGACAAGCAATCCGTGATGGCTCAGCGTAGATAGCCAATTTTAATACTGAAAGGAACAGAAATAAGTGAAAGGCAATTAAATTACCATGTTTCATGCATACTATAGTGAGCCTAATATACTGTAATATTGTCTGAGTAAACATAATTTGTAATCTAACAGACATAACCCAGGGGAAATGTAGCGTAAATAGTAGCAGTATACGAAAAACAATAGAAAAATATAAAAGGCATAAACAAATAGTCATAGCAGAGAAAAACCCCATCTATGGAGGTTAAAGACAAAAATGGAGGGAAATATTTGCCTCCTGTCATTACTAAAATTAAGATTACACTCCGTTAGCATAATCTACAATTTTACCACATGACAGGAGGCTTCATATTTGCATTTTTAACACTATGTAAGTAGAGCAAAGGAAGCATTAGAAGCAGGTCTGAAATAGAAAATCGGAAAAGTGTCTTCGTGAGACCAGTCCGCAGAACGCATGATATCCGACAAGGAGGCACCCGATGAAAAGGCTTGTGTAGCTGCTGCACCGCATACGGAATGTGCCCCCAAATGACGGTTTGACGCCAGCCAGGGATAATAGCCATCTGACCCACAACCCGTCGGTTGCACATGCGGTTGCGGACACAAGTAATTGCCCCGAGGACGCACACCGGAGAGTCACGGTGACTTCCACATAATGAAGAAGAGTTTTGAACAACGCAGAGTCGTGGAGCAGAGGGAAAAAATGGGTTAAAAAAACAAGGACGAATTAGTTTTCGCCGGTACAAAACAGAAAAAGGAGACGCCCTCCGACAAGAAGGAAAGACTGCCCACGTTGAACGCTCTGACATCCGATATCCAATGGAACAAGACCAGACATAGTAGTAAAGTAAGTTTAGCTGCCAGTTGTCACACGGATAGCGACTCCTTGTCTGGCCATTTCCGAATAAACTCCAAAACCAACTCGATGTCCCAAAGATGTGAATACTTCGGCCCTGGTGGACGAGATAGGCATATACCTCCCATGAGGCGACAGACCAATGGGTCTTGTCCCACCGAATGTCCAAGGACAGAGATGTGGGCTGCCGATATTGCCGATCGTGTAACGTTAACCGAATGATAGGATTGGCCCGCAGAAAACATGAAGGATAGGAAGTTCAAAACGATGGGAACAGGGGCTGAAAATGGATCAGAGTCCCTCTCCAGGCACCAGGAAGCCCATCTGTTCCAGGCTACCAGGTAGCACTGTCGAGTGCCTGCGGCCCATGAGTCCCATAGGAGGACCCATAGTCATCTGTGATAATCCATCAACATCCCAAGATCCCCTGAAACAGTCCAGGCCACCAAATGGAGCCGGTCTTATAGGAGGAGCGGATGCAACTCCCCTTGATGGTTGGTTAGGACGTATGGGAAGTCCGGGAGCCTCAGTGGCTGATCGTGCGAGAGTTCCAATAGGTCCGAGAACCAGGCCTGACTCGGGCAGAATGGATGTTGTGTCCATATCTTGTACAGGACCCTCGCTATCATGGAGAATGGGAGGCAATTCCTGAAGGAATGCGTCAGTTGCCTCGCATTCTGGGTCTGGGAGCAAACTGTAAAACCTGGGCAGTTGGTGGTTCATCCAGAAAGCGAATAGGTCTATCTGCAGTGGACCCCTGTGCAGTGTCAGAGTCTCAAAGACTTCCACATTCAGTTGCCAATTGCAATTGAGGTTTGCAGGGATCTTGTTGGTGCTCAACGCGTTTCATCGGTGTCGACTTCCTCAGGAGCTTGCGTTGAGCACCAACAAGATCCCTGCAGTTTTTGGTATAGCAGTCTTTTCTCTACAAGCATTTCATCTTATAGTATTTGTGCACTTTATGCTGTTTTTATATTATTGACACTTGCACTTTTATATTTCAGCACTAGTGATGTCGCGAACCCGAAATTTTCGGTTCGCGAACGGCGAACGCGAACTTCCGCAAATGTTCGCGAACCGGCGAACCGCCCGAAACGCCATTGACTTCAATGGGGAGGCGAATTTTAAAACACACAGGGACTCTTTCTGGCCACAATAGGGATGGAAAAGTTGTTTCAAGGGGACTAACACCTGACTGTGGCATGCCGGAGGGGGATCCATGGCAAAACTCCCATGGAAAATTACACAGTTGATACAGAGTCTGGTTTTAATCCATAAAGGCAGAAATCACCTAACATTCCTAAATCACAATCAATATGGATTGACACCTGACATATGACATATTGACACCTTGACATATGGATTGACACCTGTCCTCAGAGCCCCTGATGCACACCGACACAGAGCAGAATAGAGACTGGTCCCCCTACATAGGGTCACTTGGCAGATATGGATTGACACCTGTTTACAAACTGCTATTTGTAACGGGCCCTTTAAATGGCAAATTGCCCTGTTTCCCTGGGTTGTGGAGAAGCCTTTTTTCCAGCCTCCTCCCGCATGACTATGGCCCCTGGGAGATTGTGAAAATGTATACACTTTTATTTGGTGTGCATGGCCCTTTAAGACTGTCGGTGGGCATATTGGGGCTTATGGACTCTTTATGTGACTGGTGCTGGCCCTTTAAACACCTTTTGGGACATCAGGAAGATTGGGACACTGCGCCTTTAAGGCCGTGTCCCCAGACTTGTTGGGGACACGGCCCCTTTAAGACGGTGTCCCCTGTGTCCCCAGACCTGGTGCAAACCCTTTGTGCCTGCCTTGCTATTTCCCCACTTGGTTCAGTAAATGGGAAATTATTTCAGCTGCAGAGACTAAGTCCCATTCGGCGATGGGACTTAGTCTTTTTTTCAGCC